ACGAAGGAGAGAGTGGAGAAGGAGGAGGAGAGGGAGAAGGAGGAGGAGAGAGCGAAGGAGGAGAGAGTGAAGGAGGAGGAGGAGAGAGTGAAGGAGAAGGAGGAGGAGAGAGTGAAGGAGAAGGAGGAGAGAGTGAAGGAGAAGGAGGAGGAGAGAGTGAAGGAGAAGGAGGAGAGAGTGAAGGAGAAGGAGGAGGAGAGAATGAAGGAGGAGAGAGTGCAGGAGGAGAGAGTGAAGGAGGAGGAGGAGAGAGTGAAAGAGAAGGAGGAGAGAATGAAGGAGGAGAGAGTGAAGGAGAAGGAGGAGGAGAGAATGAAGGAGGAGAGAGAGAAGGAGGAGAGAGTGAAGGAGGAGAGAGTGAAGGAGAAGGAGGAGGAGAGAATAAAGGAGGAGAGAGTGAAGGAGGAGAGAGTGAAGGAGGAGGAGGAGAGAGTGAAAGAGAAGGAGGAGAGAGTGAAGGAGAAGGAGGAGGAGAGAATGAAGGAGGAGAGAGTGAAGGAGAAGGAGGAGGAGAGAGTGAAAGAGAAGGAGGAGAGAGTGAAGGAGAAGGAGGAGAGAGTGAAGGAGAAGGAGGAGGAGAGAACAGAGAAGGAGGAGGAGAGAACAGAGAAGGAGGAGGAGAGAGTAGAGGAGAAGGAGAAAGAGGAGAAGGAGAAAGACAAAGAAGCGGAGGAGGAGAAGGTGGAGAAGGAGAAGGAGGCTGAGAACGAAAAGAAGAAGGCAGAGGACAGCCTGGGACCAGGGACCAACAGGGCTGCTGCCACCTCCCCTGGGGAGGGCTCCCGCTCCGTGTTGGACCTGGTCAACTACTTCCTGTCCCCTGAGAGGCTGACAGCAGAGAACCGCTACTACTGCGAGTCGTGCGCCTCCCTGCAGGACGCCGAGAAGGTGGTGGAGCTGAGCCAGGGGCCGCGCTACCTCATCCTGACCCTCCTGCGCTTCTCCTTCGACCTGCGCACCATGCGGCGCCGCAAGATCCTGGACGACGTCTCCATCCCCCTGCTGCTCCGCCTGCCGCTGGCCGGGGGCCACGGCCAGGCCTACGACCTCTGCAGCGTTGTGGTGCACTCTGGAGTGTCCTCGGAGAGCGGTCACTACTACTGCTATGCCCGCGAGGGCGCTGCCCGCCCAGCCCCTTCCGTGGGCACTGCCGAGAGGCCCGAGCCCGAGAACCAGTGGTATCTGTTCAACGACACTCGGGTGTCCTTCTCCTCCTTCGAGTCTGTCAGCAATGTCACCTCCTTCTTCCCCAAGGACACGGCTTACGTGCTCTTTTACCGGCAGCGGCCCGGGGAGGGGCCTGAGGCTGAGCCAGGCTCTCCCCGAGTCCGGGCGGAGCCCACCCTCCACAAAGACTTGATGGAAGCCATTTCCAAAGACAACATCCTTTACCTGCAGGTGAGCGGCCATCGCGGCCTTTGATCTGATCTCCCGGGTGGAGGGCTTCCTGGCACAACCACGGGCTTAGATAAGTTACTGCTCCTCTCTCTGAGTTTCTTCTTTTTTTCTTTTATCCCTTCGTCTATCACTTAGTGCTGCGAATGAACTGGCGGACCAGACATAACCCCTTACTTCAGAGGAGCAGACATTAAATAACTATCAGTTATTAACAGTTTTCATAAGTGTGCTGAAGGAGCAGCATGGGCTTCTGTGAATGAATAGCCGAGCAGGCGTGCGTAGAGCAGGCATCCGTGGGGCTCTGGGGGACCACTCTACCCAGTGAGTCTCCTCTGTCACTGTGCTTTCAACTCTGCTCTTTAGAGTCAAGGGTGGTATCAAAATGCTTAGCAACTGGGGCAGCAAGGGCTCTGAGCAATGGGAGGGGTACTAGCCACAGACCACTGAAGCAGCCATGCCAGGACTTGTGGACAGCAGCACCGGGGCTGGTGTTTTATGTGGGGTGGGGGCACCGGGCCTGCTTTCACATTTCTGCCGAGCTGTCCAGGCAGAGGCAGGGCTGTGGTAAGGGGTCCCCATGAGGCCAGCCTCAGGTCAGCAGGAAGGAGAGCTTTCTCACTGGCAGAGTCTGTTCCTGGTGCCTTGAGAGGCAGTGAACTGGAAAGGTGGGTCAGGAAGCCTGTAGAGGGTCCCTGTGTGGTGTAACGTGACCCTTGAAGTCCCTGGACCTCCTGCTTCCTCGTGCCACATCAGGCCCTTGTCAGCTATTCATCGTCTAGTCTGAATGGGGTCCTTTCCTTTAAGGGGCTGGGGGTTTTTTATTAGGGGAGGAGGAGGAATGATTTTGAAGCCTAGATATAGGATGGAAGGATGGCTCCATCCCATCCATCCTCCCGCTGAGTTGGAATGCCTCCAGGTCAGAAGCTCCCCTGCCTGTGCTGGGGACCCGAGGAGACATTCAGGAGTGCTGTGCTGGATGGCGTTGGGGGAGGGAGTGAAGACAGGACTCTGGCTTTGAGCCTAAATGTTAAGCTTCCTGCCCCATCCCCATCTGTGTTCCCAGGAGCAGGAGAAGGAGGCGCGGAGCAGGGCAGCCTACATCTCTACACTCCCCTCATCTCCGCGTTGGGGGAGGGGCTTTGACGAAGACAAGGATGAGGATGAAGGCTCTCCCGGGGGCTGCAACCCTGCAGGTGGCAATGGTGGTGACTTCCACAGACTGGTCTTCTAATGTGAACCCTCCCTCACCTGCTCCTACCTGTGGGGGTGCCACAACCAACCTCAGGGGAGGCCTTGACCCCTTCCTTCTGGGAGCAGGTGGGGGCCCAGGTCCTGGCACGGGTGCTCTGCCAGGTGGGGTCTGAGGGAGGCTGTGGAGGCCAGTCCAGTCCTGAAGGCGGGCCTTTCCAAGGGCAAGAAGGATGGAGAGGAAGCTTCTGGGACAGTGGTCCCCGGCATGAAGGGTACACGGAGACTCAGCTATAGAGGTGGGACCCAAGCCCCTTAAACTGGGCCTCTGGCCCTGACACCGGGATCAACCCCATTAAGATTTTTGCACCCAAGTGTCCTGGTCAACTTGAAGCAGCTTCGATGGACACACTCACTCTGGGCCTTGTCTTCCCCCGTCCCCCCGCAGGCTCCCTAACAGAGCTGAACGTCACAGCTCTAGTGTTTCGCCATCAAGTAGCATTTCCCTGCTGGCTCCTTTGAGACAATCCTGTTGCTCGGTAGTACAAGAGCAGGCTGCAAGTCCTTGCACAAAGACGGGGCTGTGTGTCACACCTCTGGCTGCCACCTTGTTTCTCTGAGGGGGTTTCAGAGGCCAAATGGGTGGGTGCCTGCACCGCTGTACTGTTTGTTTTTGAGAGGAATGTAGGGGGAAGCAGCCTGGCACACGCTCAGAGACTGTCTCCCCAACACCAAGCAACACTGCGTAGAGGGGAGGGCAGCGCCCCCTCCCCTAGCCTGCCTCAGTGCCTGAGATGCCACCATTTGCATCCCCATTCTGGTTAAGATAGAGTGTCCTTATTTTACTGCACATATGTTTGTGTTTCTCTGGAAGCCATCCTCCATCCTGAGGAACGCTGGCTGGCTCAGCTCCTCGTCACTTGGCCATTAGAGCAGCCTAGGGGGCTGGCCGGGGTGGTCTGGTGAGGAGCAGATATTGACCTCATTGTGCCCTGACACTGCTGTACCCCTTCTGAATGGAGAGAAGAGACCCAGGGTCTCGAACAGGAATAAAAATAGGTTCTCTGAAGCCTTTAAGATGTCGTTCTTTCTGCCTCAGTGGCTGTGATGTCGGCTCTACCCTTGGTTTCTTCCTGTGTCTGGGCAGTAAGGAGGGTGTATCCCCTGCCCTGTTGACATGTGCGATGCACCACAGGAGGGGCAAGTGCCCTGCACGGAAGTGCTGTATACATTAAAGGTGAGGGCTGGGAGGACCCAGAGAGCAGAGCTGGGACCGGTGGTGGGGACATCCCCAGATGCAGGTACCAGCAGAGGGAAGAGCAGGCTCATTATCCCGAGAAGCAGGGGAGCCCGTCGCCTCTGGAGGGCCAGGCACATAGGCTGGCGGCTGTCTGATTGGATACTGTCAGGGGCCTCACCTATCAATCAGGGAGGGCTGAAGTCCCAATATCTAGGGGGTTTTCAGATCCCAAGAACTCTGGACTGCCCAGAAATAGCCACTGCTGATACACATTCCTCATTCCTTCCTTCCGAGAACCTGGGGGTAGGGGTGGCCTTTCCTGGGCTGGACTTGGGCACAGACCAGGAGGAAGGCTGGGACACTTCCCTCAGGTGTCATCCCATTCTTGGAGCTGGACGGGCACACAGGGGCCCCTTTTCACCAACCCCGTCCACCCGCTTTGGAAGAACAAATAAGGTGTGGAGGCAGGCGGTGACAGTGGTGTGGCCAGGGGCTGCCTGCCTGTGCTAAAGGTGGAAGAGTTGAGTTTTGGCCCAAACGTCATAGACCCTTGACATGTCAGACCTTAGGGACCAGCGAAAGTGGGCCGATAGTCTGTCAGAGACCAAGTCACGCTCTACAGTCCCAGTCCAGTACACCTTCTGAGATGAACTGACAGATGTTACTGCAATTCCCATGCTACACATCTGGAATACAGATTCCAAGGTAAGGAGGAGTCACTCCTGCTCCCAGCCAAGAAAAGTACCCAATGATTTTCTATTAAGATGAAAGTGGAGTAGACTGGCACATTGCCTTCTGGGACCATGAGAGAGATGATTTTCTTGTCAAGAATGTGTTTATGGGGCTGGCCCGGTGGTGCAGCAGTTAAGTTCGTACGTTCCGCTTCTGTGGCCCGGGGTTTGCTTGGTCGGATCCCGGGTGCGGACATGGTACTGCTTGGCAAAAGCCATGCTGTGGTAGGCGTCCCACATATAAAGTAGACGAAGAGGGGCACGGATGTTAGCTCAGGGCCAGTCTTCCTCAGCAAAAAGAGGAGGACTGGCAGTAGTTAGCTCAGGGCCAATCTTAAAAAAAAGTGTTTAAGCCTACACATGGACAGCCCCCAGGCTGGGATTCGAATTTGTGGCTTCCACCCCCAGCTGCTTCTGATGAGGCAGACTCCAACAGTCTTCTCTGGTTGCTTCTAATGGACTTTATTATTGTCCTGCTCCAACACCACAGTAAAAAGGGACCTGTAAGCTCCAGGCCTGTACCATGTGTCACCACAGCAAAAACAGGACCCAGTTGAACATGTTCCCCCCCAACCCCAGACCTACTCACAGGATAAATACGTGTTACAAATTTTTTTTCTTAAAGAAAACAGAATAAATTAATAACTTAAGTGATTAGGCACCAACAGTGATTTGAAAAATTAAATGTCAATTTTAAATGGTAACAGGGCAAGAACCTAGGACTGGGCTTCTCCTAGCCCAGTTTTGCTTCCCGACAAATAGCGACAGTTCTGTGCGAAATGATTCTAAATTTCAAGACACATGTAACCAACAAACACACAAGAACACACACCACCAAATATCACATGACAGCCTGAATCTCCAGTGGAGCCCCTCCGCAGGCAGCCTGCCGTGGCCCAGGCCCCAAGAGCTTGGTGAGTCCCAGAAGGATGGCCCCTGAAGGAGAGGGCTTTGGCGCTCACGTGATCAGCCTCGCTTCCCCCACATTTTGCAGATGAAGGCCCAGAGAGGGGAAGGAAGGGCTGATTTCTCTCCTGTCCTGTTCTTAGCGAGCTCTGTCAGAGGGGTGTGGGTTGGGGGAGGGCTGGTTGGCCATGGCTTGGGGCTGAGGCCTCAGCCCCATGGCAGGTCAAGAGGCCAAAGGGCAGACTGGAGTTGAGCCCATGCTTCAATCAGTTCAGAACGGTTGTGCTTCTGTCCTAGGAATGGGGCATCTTTGAATGGTTTCAAAGGTAGAAGTTACCAAAATCAATCTAGGGAGGGGACTGGGTTAATTGGCTAATGCTCTTGGTGCTGCCTGTCAGCCACGGAAGGGGCCTCAGGGACCGTCTAATCTAATCACCCATTTCACAGACGGGCAAACCAAGGTCCGAAGGAGCCATCGTCTCCCTGTAGCACTCAGTCCTTTTCTCCTTGTTCCTGCTCTACTTTCCAGGTGGAGCTGGAATAGGAAGCGGGCTCCTTTGGGGAGCCCCAGGTAGGATGAGTTCTGGTGTGAGCCGTGCTGGTTGAGAAGACGGCCCCATTCCGGGGTCTCAGTCCTAGCCAGGCTACCAGGAGAGGTGGACTCTGACCCACTGAGAGGCCAAAGGACCAGTGTTGTACACTGAGCTGACAGGTGTGTACGAAACCCCTAGTAGTTTGGGGGCTTGTGAGCCAGTCTCCGCGGTCAACAGGCCAGTTTCCTCTCCTCTTGTACTTCTTCCATCTCTGCTCTTACCTCCACCCTAAGGGTTTGGGAGTCACAGGAACCAAGAGCTGGAAGGAAGCCTTAGATTTGGACACCTCAGTCTCTGATGACTCTAACCGGTTTCATTCACATCATGGCGCACACAGAAAATGCTGACATTATTGGGGCACCCTGGGGCCAATAGGGAGGCTGCTGGGGCTGGGAACACGAAAAGCTCTGCCATAGAGACCCTTTGTAGAAGGCCTTAAAGGGACAAAGTCAGGCCTGGGCAGAGTGAACCAGCAGACCCCGCCCAGTGTCAGCCACTGCCACGATTACCGCCTCACTTGTGGGACACCGAGGCAGGGCCCCACTGCTCCCAAGGGGCTGGACGCATGCTCCCAAAGGTCTTTGGTTCCCAAAGTGCAAGGCTTTCCAAGTCTCTTCTTCCTCCTTCCTCCACTGCCCCTCGGCCCTGCCCTCCTTCCCTGTAAAAATCTGACCCGTCTTCCTCTAAGTCCTATCTCAGGTATCCCCCCCCCCTTTTCCTAAAGCCCCCCTCCCTATCTGCACCCCTCTCCATCCCTGCCCCTGCACCAACCTCCCGGAGAAGTGGCCTCGCTTCCTCTGCAGGCCATCGGCATTTTAAGTCTCTCTCACGGCCATTACCAACGTCTTGTGCCCTCGTGTTTTCTCATCAATTGTGACCTTCTCAAGTGCAGGGACCAAGTCTGATTAATTCCTGTGTCCTCAGTGCCTAGTCTAGATAGAGCCTGGCCACAGCAGCCATTAATAAACGCTTGTTGAGTTGATTTGAACTAATACTAGGAGGAGAGCGGCATTTCTCCCAGGATGGGACTTCTTAGAGACTAGTCAGGCCATTGGGCAGGTGAGATGTGCATTTGTGTGTGTGCACGTGTGCTCACAGGAGCTGAAAGGTGAGCAGTAGACACCTCCATTACACATGGTGGGAAGTCATTTTTTTTGAGGAAGAAAGTCTATTCACTCCAGGGTAGGATGAAACATCTGGTCTGCCCAGTTGCCTCTGAAACTCTTGAAAATTTGGCCAAGAACTGTCAACATAAAAGCTTCAGATCCTCCCTCCCTGGCTTAGGAGAAAGAGCCTGGGCCGCTGCCCTGCCTCTGTCCCTGGCAGGGCTGGGGGAGGGCGATGCTGATCTGATAGCCTTTCAAACCGTGAGAGGGGAGGCCTGGCCTCTCCTGTCCCTGTAGCCAGGTTGGAGTCCAGTGAGGCACCTGGGATGCAAGGGAGCAACAGACGGTGAGAAGAGCTGGGAAAAGACTCTGGGCCTGATACCGGGCACAAAGCCCAGCCAAACCACAGTAGCTGCCGGCCCTTCTCACGTGTCCTCTAGCTCCGTTCTGCCCTGCTCTCCCCGTTGCACTGCTTTACCCCGCCATCCACCAGTCCTATCATGAACTGTCCATCCAGTTCGTGTCATGTCACCATGCACACCACTCTCCTGACATGATGCACCACTTCTTCACTTTCTGCTCCACCCTGCATCTCCATGGCACTGCCTCGGGACCTCCACCAGGTTCTCTGGATGTATTTCCCCACTTGCTACACTGTCCCCCCACGGCCTTCACCCCGCCTCTCATCCCATCAGTTACCTCTGCGCCTCCCCATCTTGTAGAAACTCCCTATGCACCGTCGCCACTGCAGTGTCCGTGCACTGCCCTGGGCCTCTGCCCAGCCCGTTCCTGTCCCAGCGTTGCCCCTCGGTCCCTGCCTCACCTCCAGTCCACCCCACACTCCCTCCCTCCCACATCCTGCACCCTGCATTGCTTTCCCACCAGCCTCCCCTCACCGTGCTGGCACTCAGACCGCACGCTGCATCGCCCAGCACAGTCCAGCCCTCTCCAGTGCGGCACTCAGGCGGGTGGGGACTTGGGGAAGAGACTGCATGCTGTTGCAGAGCAGCAGTGGGCTTGCAGCTCCACAGTTTCAGGGGCCCGACCCCGCAGCGTCCTTGTCACCCCATCTCCTGGGCTCTGAGCCCTGCTTCTCCTTGTTCTTGGTTGCCCATGATCCTCAGTTTCCCTTCCTTTTGTCCTCATCCTTCTGCCTCTCCCACCCTGGTAACAGCTGCACTGCCACTTAGCCTGAGTGGGGGACCCTGCAGGTATCAACTGCCCTTCTGCATCTAGGGACCTAATTCCTTTATCCCTCAAGACCACCTCTAACCTTCCTTCTTGACTCCTCCCTCTTTTGGTGGCCTTGCCTCTCCCTTGCCAAGACAGACAGGGATGAAGAAGTCCAAGTCCACTTTGGTCTGCTGGTCCTTGGCTCCCTGGGTCAGTGAGGCAACTTGGCTTCTTCCGAGACTGAAGGAGAGGTAGCCCAGGAGCGGGAGGGAAGAGGGCTGAGGGCTGTGACCGAGTGTGAGGTGTGGAATCTGGCTCAGAGCCCCAGCCCCTCCCTCCAAACATCTGGTAGATATTCAGGTCTAAAGGGCAGGAAGAGGCTGAAGGAGGCTTTTTGGCAATAGCTCTAACTAAGGTGGGTAGAGGCATGGCCATTACTGATAAAAATCAAAGGTGGGCCCCGAGTGGGCAGAGGAAGTGCCTCAATCAGGCCCTCACCCCCCAGGGGAAGGGTTCAGGGTCCCTGATGTCAAGTGCTTTGAAGGCCAGAGTGGCAGAGTGGAGGGGGGTGGGTGGGATGGGGCAACAGGAGAGGAGACAGGGGAGACAGACGGGGAGGAGCCGGCTCTGGAGACGCTGCCTCCTGGCCCCTCTGGGTGCCGGGCGGCCCCTGAGTCACAGCTTGGCACCCTTAGAAGGCTCTGAGGACTGCCGCACATCTGTCCACTCCTGCATGGTGTTCTGCAGGGCCTGGGTCTTCTCCTTGTCCACTTGAACGTAGTCCACCTTCTCATCCGAAGTGACGGAGGATGTGGATGGCTGAGGGACAGAGTGGGAAAGGAGAGGTGGCCGTGAGTCGTCAGTGAGGTAAGGGGCAGGCAGGTGGGCTCTTCCTGAGCTGTCTGACGGCGAGTGGAGGTGGGCCTCTGCCCGGCACTCTGACCGGCCTCAGGAGCCTGTCTTCTTTTTCTGAAACTGGCCTTCAGAGTCTGAACTCCAAACGGCATCCTCCCTCCTGTTTGATGCTACAGCCCCACCAGCCCTCCTGATTTCCCAGCTCCTAGGAGGACTTAGGCCCTTCCTTGGCCTAGTGGATGGGTCCAGGCCTTCATCTCTGCCTCCATCCACCTCCCTGTGGCCACGCATCCAGGGCAAGGACTTTGCTGGGTGCCAACAAGCACCAGCCAGAGGGCTTTGTGTGTGACCCTCGGTGAGCACTCACAGCTGCCCTGTGAGGGGAACTGCGCTGAGGTGGAGCTCCCCACTCCGCTGTCTGGACTGGGAGCTAAGTGTGCTTCCCTCAGAGGGCTCTCCTAGGCCTGGAAGTCCCTTTGGAAGGCCACTGTACCCATGGCGGGGCCCTGGGACCCAGACAGACAGTGAGTGCTCCTCAAAGAAGAGTTCGGGACCAGGGCACAGGATCCCTGAGCCTTGGATCTGTCACTGATTCACTGTGTAACCTCGAGCAGATTGTGTCTCAGTGTGCATTCGTTTGCCCACCTGCACAAGGGGGATGGACTGGCTGAGGAGGTCCCGTGAACCGAGGGTGTCTGTGCACCGAGAGAGAGGAAAGAGCCCTCTAAGACCCCGACTAAAGCATGGTCGAGTCATGAGAGGCCGAGTGCTGTGCTCAGTGTTGAGCCCCTGGCATCCCTCCCCCAGGGCCCTGAGAGCGCTGACTCCCCACCCCAGGCACCTTGCGGTGGGGGCTTGGGGAGCTCGGCTGGAAGTCCAGGGCCAGATAATCGACGCTGCCGGTGCTCTTCTTTGGGGCTGGGCTGTTGGTGCCGCTGGGAATGGGAGATGCAGACACGGGGTTTTGCTGTCATAAAGAAGGAAGAAACTTAGTAAGTTCAGGAAACAGACTAAGCTGGAAGAACACAGCTCTGGGAGCAAGAGCTGCGAGCTCACGGAGTGCTGCTCTGAGTCGCGCTGCCCTAGGGACTCCACCTTCTCACTTAAACCCTCGACAATCCTGTGACGTCGGTATTACTACTATTCTTACTTTTAAAAACAAAGATAAAACTGTGGTTGAGAAGTCAAGTGACTTGCCTACAGTTGTATAGCTGGTGAGCAGGAATGGGAGCCAGGTCTGTTTTCTGACTCCCAGACCTGTGCTCACGCCACCGTACCACGCTGCCTCGCTTCTAGGGCATCAGGCCAAACCTCCTCCACGGTCTCCCGGACAGACCCAGCCTTCACTTGCTGGTCCCTAAGAAGGGAGCACGTTTCCTTTATGTGCTGGATGTTGGAAAGTCATCTTCTCTTGCACCAGATCTGCATCTCTGAAACTCCCACCCGTGGCCTAAAAAGGAGCCACACCGAGCAGCCTGCTCCCTCCGGCCCCAGTACCTCAGCGATCTGAACAGAGCTGCCTCCTCCCCAGGCTCCAGTCCCTTCAGCAGCTCTTCTAAGGACACGCTCTAGGGTCCTGTCTCCATCTGGGAACCAAGACCAACTTGTCTTGGATTTTCCTGAAGTCTTATACTCAATGAGAAAGGCCATAGCCCTATGTCCTGTTTTTAGGCTGTGTTACTGGTTGGTTGATTCATTCTTTCATTATTTATGGAGTGCCTCCCAGCTACTGGGCAGCTATTCTCTTTTCAATGAAAATCTCGGGGAAGCAACTTACCACGCGCTGCCTGTTTGTAGCTCTACTGTGGCCTTCCCCACAGTGAGTCCTGTGCAGGTGTGTTCCCCTGCCACTGAGTAGATACTCAGTAAATGCTTACACTCACATACGTGCCCATGCTCATGGGAACAACAGGATAAGGAAATGAAGAGAAGACCTTTTACTTTTCAAAGATTTTAACAGGACAGAGAAGGAAGTTACCTTCGAAGAGTGCTCTATTCATTCTTCTCAAACACCTGTCTAAGCAGTTGGCCTGCCAGACTTCTGGGGCTCCCTCCTGCCCACAGGAAAAGCCCAGACTTCCCAAGACAGCATTCTGGGTCCTTCAAGGTCCGCTTTAGTCCAACCTCACCCCTGCCCACCTCATCTTCAGCCATAGCTAAACGACGATGATTCTCCCCCATGCCCCTCCTCTGCACAGCCACCTCCACCTCTGCCTGGCAAGATCGCCCATCCTTCGGGTGCATCCCTGCAGCACTGCCTCTCCAGGGGCACTGACCATGCCACCTGTGTCACAGTCGTGAGAGAGACAGGCCTTCTCTGCCCCTTAAGACCGTGGCCTCCTGGCGGGCGGGGACCATGCCTTCCTTGCCTCTGACAATCACCCCAGCAGCAAACTAAATCACAAATAACATAGGAACCCCTGGGCTGAGGTGAGTTAGCCAAGCCGGGAAGTGGGGAACTGAGAAGTGGGTCCCAGGGGCCTCACCATAGGGACATAGTTCTCTTCGCTGTCTCCCGAGTCCGTGCTGGTGATGCTCTGCGTGGAGATGGGGCGGCAGTACTGGGAGGAGCTGGAGTTGAAGGTGTGGCTGTTGTGAGAGAGACAGAGTAAGCCCTCAGGAAGTTTTCAGCCTCCAGCTGGGTCCCTGACCCTCACACCCCCAGACCCTCCACCCTCAGAGCTTCACACTCCGTTATCAGTTTAAGATCTGATACAGAGCAGGTACAATTAGTCCCCCTTTATGGATGAGGAAATCAAGCCCAGAGAGATCAAGAGATGTGCTCAGCTACAGCATTAGCATCAGGATGCAGCTTTCCTGACTCACAGGCCATGACCACTTCACTCGCCAGCCCTAACGGCCCTGTTCCAAGCTCCTGCTTCCACAGACAGAAACTCACATGGCCCGAGACCAAGATTTGGTGACAGGTGACTTGAAGGGGAGCTCATCAATGACGGTGTTGTTTCTCAGGTCAAGTGGTGTTGGCTTTGCTGGAGCAGGAACAGAAAGTCAAGTAATCAGCCAATGCTAATGCCACACATACATACACTTACATATACCACACAAATATATTTATAAATGCCTTCGTATTCATCCCAGTGTTACTACATAGGGAAACTGAGGCTCAGCAAGGTTCTATAATCCTTGCCCACATTGACTGGCCTTGAAGGCATGTCTTCAGAGTCCACATTATATCTTCTTTGCACTGTATCTATGGCAATCATATTTTCAGAATCCAAAACGTGGGGGGACAGTGTATGACGACAGACTGTTCTCCCCAGATCTGTGACTGTATATAAAAACAAGAGATGATATTTGAAATGGAGAAGGCCACCGTGACGGCTCCCGGCTGCTCCTGGTCCAGGGCTGGGGAACCTAGAGCAGAGGAAGGTGAATGCCACGAGGCCCTGAAGGCTTCAATCCAAATGCTAAGACTTTAATTTCCTGCTGGCCAGAACAAGGAGGGCTTCTCTCCGCCCCATTACATACTTCTCCCTGTGAATCCCTGCCACTGATCCAAGGCCCACAGTGGGGTTGAGGCAGACGTGGAGCCTGAAGTACAGCACTTCTTCCCGGTCTAAATGCAGGGGGCATAGATCTAACTTCACTCAACACCCACTGTGTGCCACAGTCAACGCCCTACGTGCTTTCCCTCTGAGCAAAACTGGGAGGCAGGAATTACTATCCCCATTTCACAGATAAGAAAACTGAGGCTCAGAGAATTTAAATGATTTACCCAAAGTCACACACCCAGGAAGTGCTGGATAAGGATTCCACCCACATCTATGTGGTTTGAAAGCTCAAGCCTTTCCATTACAGTATAGCACATCTTTTAATTGACCACTTTGTCGTTTCTGCACTGCCCCGCCCCAGATCTAACACTAATCCGTCAACACTGAACAGCATTTTATACGTGCCTACAGTTTATACATGCTACAGGCCCATCTGTGTTTCACAGACAAAGAAACAAGGCTCACAGGCACAGAGTGCTCTGTCTACAGTCACATGTTGGCAGGCGGCAAGCTGGAACCCAAGTCCGACGTGTCCTTTGGATTCCTGCACTCCTGCCCATCCAGGCTGCTCCAGCAGCCAGTCTCCAGGGTGCCAGATCATTAGGATGGATTTGGAGTGTTTGTGTATGTGTGTGTGCGCGAGTTTGGGGTGGTTTAGGTCCCAGAGGCCACCACTTCCTTGCAAGAAAAGTTCAGGATCCACCTGATCCCTAAATGAATGCAAATAGTCCCTGGACATTGTCCAGAGATGGGACAGGGGAAAGTGGACTTACCTTTCCGGTCAGGTTTGAGGTTGCGGTTGACAGGGGGTGGCTGGATCTCACTTGCTCGGCTGGGGCCTCGGTGCACAGGAAGGGCGGTAGAGGGGTAGCCAAGCGGGTCGAAGTGATGGGGACCTGGGCTCATGGGGATGTAGACACTCTGGGCATTATCACTTGCTCGCTCCATGGCCAGGAGGGTGGAGGAACCTGGATTCATGGGCACATAGTTGTCTTCGGAATTGGTGCTATCCGATCGGCCCACAACTGTTTTCCCTGGCTAGGAAGGAGAGTGAAAGAAATACAGCTGTCATTGGCAAGAAGAAACAAGAAAGGTGGGAGAATTTGTATACAGGGTAAGAAAAGTCACGACTGAGTTAGCTGTGCTGTGAAGCTAAAAGGCCGACCCTGGGAAAACCAAGTAAGAAGGTAGAGTGGGAGACAGGGGAAAATGAGGTCTGTGGGTCCCTTCTAGCTTCCATGATCCCTTGGGACCCACTTATGATTTGTGATAAATCTTTAGCATGAAACATCCTTGGCGGCTGGTCCATGAGGCCTTCTGGATACCTGACCAAGGCAGGGGGTAGCACAAGCCATGGACTGCATAGGTTTGGTTGGGGATCTGCCCTTCTACCTCAAGTCCAGACTCACCACTGGCACGTCAGCATTTCAGGCCCTGAGCAGGGTGAGGAGCATATTAGAAGCTTTGGCTCTACCGAGCAGGTGACGTCTGGGGCCAGCTGTGCTTCCCCAGTTCAGCTTTTAGTGTGATCCCCACACTGCAGTCAGAGCTGCCATAGAGTTGTACGATGCAGCAACCCTGGCGAGAGCCTTCCTTCAACTCCTGCCCTGTCTGTCCCGATGTACAACTAGGCTGCTTCTGCCTTGATTACCTAATTTCAGTCTTTCCAGTGGGCCTGAAGCCAGACCTTAGTCTGCTCAGCTGGGGCCTGACACCTTGCAGAACTGTGGTCAGCCCCCTGCAGGGCAGCCTGGGATCCTGCGCTCAAACCATTAATCTGCCATGGAGCCTGACTCTCAGCACCACCCTTGCCCGTAGTCTCACACCGCAGCACTCTCCTCCAGGTGAGACCTCATGGATAAGGATGCTGCCTTAGGTCCACCGTCCCAGAGCCGGGGTCCTCTGCATTCTAGACCTCTCCTGCTTACCCACAGGGCTGGTGAGCCTTGGAGTCTAGTGTACCTAAGTACACTCATTTCTTCCAGACTAGGATACCTGTACCTTACTTTCCAAAAAACTCAACCCAGGGTTCTAAAGTAAGACAAGAAGCTAGGCAGGGTCCTAAAATGGAGATGCCATCATTCTTCGGGGCTGTGCCTTTATTTCCACGGGATGTGAACTTTAACCCCCTGAGCTGGCCTGATGGCCCCTGGCTAAGCCCCACTCACCAGGAAAGAACCGACTGCATCACTCATGGACTCGGCAGATCGGCCTGCACTCTCTCCACCACGCTGGGGGTACTCGTAGGACTCACAGGAAGATGCTACGACAGAGGAAGGAAGATCCATGTGCACTCAGTTGATCCACGTGTTGACACTTCCCTAAATCCTCACCGATGCTGCTCAGGGGCTTACTGACACACCGGAAGATAGGACTCTCAACCCCAAGGGATAGGGTATTACTTCTGTCATGTCGCACCTCTGTTCAAAAGCTCCTCCCGGGCTTCTGGATCCAGCTCTGGTGTTAGCATCGGCATCATATCCCTCCTTGACCACTTCTGCCCTCATTTATGCGCCCCTCCTTCAACTCCTGTAGCCCTTACCACCTGTCCCACTCATTCTAGCCATCATTTACACAAATACTACAGTAATAATGATACTGGACGAATATATACATGTTGGTTTTATTTCCCCAACTAGATGTGAGCTCTCTGAAGGGCAGAGACATATTTTATATATGTTTGCATCATTTCAGTTCCAAAGCACAGGGTGATTGATAGAACAGTTGATGGACTAAAAAATCACAAAGAGTACTAAGCCAAGAGTCAGGACCCTGAGGTCCAAGTCCCATCTCTGCCACTGACTGACTTTGCAGCCATGAATAAATCTCTTAACTACCATGGGCCTCATGTGAAATGGAGACAATGAAGCCCCACCAAACTCTCAGGGTCATTACATGGCTTAAATAATAGGACAGATAAGGACAGGCTGCACCTGCTATAAAGCAACATGCAAAATGAAAGGCATTAGTGTTATTGTACTTTTTCATCAAATAGAGGAGGGTATATGCAGGGCTGGAATACTCTCAATGGAAAATAAGTGGCAATAGAATTTATATACTTCAGATTGAAGTTTATACTTTAACCAAAGAGATTCAAGCGTGGCTTAGAAAATATTTTGTAGATCTAATTTTGTTTGAATAGTCTGTTAGTCCACAGAGGTTTGGCTCCAGTTTGCACTAGTCCTCTAAATTTATTCTTGAAATCTTTGGTTTGATTTATAAATGAATAAAATACTATCATTTGGACTTCTAAAACCATAATACATTGTATTGTGGTTAACCAAGAACGCTCTACCTCCCTTAGTAGAACAGTAACGTCTCTCCAGCAGAGGCTGCTACGCTCTTGCCACTGTGTGTGTCCACTAATAGCCTCAAGTGCTGGAGAACCAACCAGTAGGGGGTCTGGGTGGAAAATGCCTGGACGCGTGAATATCAGTGACCTGGGTGGGCCGTGAGTCTCCTTAGCATGCATGACTAAGGACTAGCAAACCACTGAGAAGCCCTGTGCTACCTCTGTTTCCCCGGGGTCTCGGCTGGAGCTTCTACTGACCTCGGTGAAGTCGGCTGTTGTCCATTGCAGGGAGGGTATTGCGCCTGGGGATGGTGGCGGCGGCCGAGACTGATCTGCCACTTTCACTGATTGGAGGTCTCTGCTGAGGGCTGCCCCATCGAGGTGTTTCTGCCTGACTTGGCTTGGGGGGCCGGGGTGGGGGAGCTATGGCTGAGTCCCCAGGAGTGGCCACGGCCATGGCATTGTGGTTCTTGTCCAGTGTGAATGTCCTAGGGATCTGGTAAGCTGAGAGTGGGGTGGCTGGAACATCCATATTATCTACCAGGAGGTCCCCAAACTCCCGGCACAGGGTGTTGCTGGGCGTCTTGAAGGTGTACACATCCTCGTTATCCGTCTCAGAGCCTGTGAGGCTGCCCTTGGTGTGGCCATGGGAGGCCAGGCTCCGGGGCAGGTCGTAGGTACTGTCTCTGAATTCTGTATTGTGCCGGCTCGGCTTGGGGAGGCTATAGAAGCCGTGGACTTGACCACTGACCCCGTTGACACAGTGTCCATTGCCCTGGGCAAGTTTCTGTACGGCTGTGTCGCTCCTCATGAGAAACGAGGCCCTGGTGCCCTGAGAGAAGCTGGCACTCCTAACAGAGAGAAAGGAAGGAAGGGGCAGAGGGGTTAGAGGAGGCCAGGACTGCCTGCCCAGGGAGGCAGGTTGGCATGTTCAAAGCCCGTGCAGCTAGATGGTGTGGAAAAAACACAGGATGAGGAGGCAGACAGGCCTGAAGTTTATTTCAGTTTACTAGCTGTGTGACCTTAGGCAAGACACTTTCTCTTTCTAAGCTTCATGTTATGCATCTGCAAAAATGGTGATTAAAAACATACTTGCAAGGTTGTTCAGAAATTAGGTTCTAGTATATCTCGTATACATATGTTCAGTCATTGTCAGCCTTTATCTCTCCTCCACCTCCAAGTGGCAGTGATGAGCAAGGTTGGCCTCACCTCCTCCAAAAGATACCAACAAGCCAGTTATACCCCCACCTGTTCACTGTTTTGAGAACCACAGAATATATACATTTGAACACAAAGGCTGAGAGATAGTGGAAAGACTCAAGAGTCTTGGTTTTCCCATTGTAAAATAAGTCAGCAAATGGGTGTTGATGTTGTAAGTTGTAAAGAACTATTCAAATGTAAGCCATAGATTTTCTACCATGTATTATAGTTTGTTGAGAGGCATTTAGAGGAAGAAATCTCTCTTTCCAGAAGTCTAAATATCTATAGGAAAAAGGGCTTCCTGTTGGGGATCTATATTCAGGATAGAAAGAGTTTAATTTGTTTAATTTTTAAAAATTTTTATTTATTTTGAGGAAGATTAGCCCTGAGCTAACTGCTGCCAATCCTCCTCTTTTTGCTGAGGAAGACTGGCCCTGAGCTAACATCCGTACCCATCTTCTTCTACTTTATATGTGGGATGCCTACCACAGCATGGTGTGCCAAGCGGTGCCATGTCTGCACCTGGGATGGAACCGGTGAACCATGGGGCACCAAAGCGGAAGGTGAGCACTTAACCGCTGCGCCACTGGGCCAGCCCCTATTTTTTTCAAATTTAGGTTCTTGGGAAATAAGGCAAGATTGAGCAGTAAAAGAGCTGGGAGGGAAGGGATCTGTGTTAGGTTCCAGCACTGCTAATGATATGCTCTGTGAGCTTCACCAAGCCCCCCTACAAGGTGTGACCTAGTGGGTCTCACTGATTTTTAAGGGCCCAACTGGCTCTGAAGCTCCATAAGCCTTTGGCTTTATAAGCATGGTTTTCAAACTGGACTCTGTTCTTTGTAGGTACCTTGGGAAATGGAGGATGAGGTTCTGAGCAAGTCGGGATCCAGGTCTGCTTTCCTCTCTCTTACATTATGATTCTTTTTTTATTTTATTTTATTTTATTTTTATTGAGTTAATGATAGGTTACAATCTTGTGAAATTTCAGTTGTACATTAATGTTTGTCATTTGTGTTGTAGGTGCACCACTTCACCCTTTGTGCCCACCCCCCACCCCACCTTTCCCCTGGTATCCACTAAACTGTTCTTAGTCCATAATTTTAAATTCCTCATATGAGTGGAGTCATACACAGATTATCCTTCTCTAGCTGGCTTATTTCACTTAACATAATTCCCTCAAGGTCCATCCATGTTATTGCAAATGGAATGATTTTGTTCTGTTTTGCAGCTGAGTAGTATTCCATTGTATATATGTACCACATCTTCTTTATCCATTCGTCTGTTGATGGGCACTTAGGTTGCTTCCATGTCTTGGCTATTGAAAATAATGCTGCAATGAACATTGGGGTGCATAGGACTTTTGGGATTGCTGACTTCAAGCTCTTTGGATAAATTCCCAGTAGTGGGATGGCTGGATCGTATGGTAGTTCTATTTTTAATTTTTTGAGGAATCTCCATACTGTTTTCCATAGTGGCTGCACCAGTTTGCATTCCCACCAGCAGTGTATGAGGGTTCCTTTTTCTCCACAACCTCTCCAACATTTGTTACTATTAGTTTTAGATATTTTTGTCATTCTAATGGGTGTAAGGTGATATCTTAGTGTAGTTTTGATTTGCATTTCCCTGATGATCATCGATGATGAGCATCTTTTCATGTGCCTATTGGCCATCCGTATATCTTCTTTGGAGAAATGTCTGTTCATGTCTCCTGCCCGTTTTTTGATCAGGTTGTTTGATTTTTTGTTGTTGAGTTGTGAGAGTTCTTTATCTATTACGGATATTAAGCCTTTGTCAGATATATGACTTGCAAATATTTTTTTTCCCAGTTAGTGGGTTGTTTTTTTGTTTCAATCCTGTTTTCGTTTGCCTTGAAGAAGCTCTTTAGTCTGATGAAGTCCCATTTGTTTATTCTTTCTATTGTTTCCCTTCTCTGAGAAGGCATGGTGTCCAATAAGATCCTTTTAATACTGATGTCAAAGAGTGTACTGCCTACGTTTTCTTCCAGAAGCCTTATGGTTTCAGGTCTCACCTTTAGGTCTTTGATCCATTTTGAGTTTATTTTGGTGAATGGTGAAAAAGAATGGTCAATTTTCATTCTTTTACAGGTGGCTTTCCAGTTTTCCCAGCACCATTTGTTGAAAAGACTTTCTTTTCTCCATTGTATGCCCTCAGCTCCTTTGTCAAAGATAAGCTGTCCATAGATGTGTGGTTTTATTTCTGGGCTTTCAATTCTGTTCCATTGATCTGTGCACCTGTTTTTGTACCAGTACCATGCTGTTTTGATTACTGTAGCTTTGTAGTATGTTTTGAAGTCAGGGATTGTGATGCCTCCCATTTTGTTCTTTTTTCTCAGGATTGCTTTAGAAATTCGGGGTCTTTTGTTGCCCCATATGAATTTTAGGATTCTTTGTTCTAATTCTGTAAAGAATGTCATTGGGATTCTGATTGGGATGGCATTGAATCTGTAGATTGCTTTAGGTAGAACGGACATTTTAACTATGTTTATTCTTCCAATCCAGTACATGGAATGTCTTTCCATCTCCTTATGTCATCATCCAATTCTCTCAGAAAGGCCTTGTAATTTTCATCATATAGGTCCTTCACTTCCTTAGTTAAATTTACCCCAAGGTATTTTATTCTTTTTGTTGCGATTGTGAATGGTATTGTGTTCTTCAGTTCTTTTTCTGTTAGTTCGTTATTAGAGTATAGAAATGCTACTGATTTATGCAAATTGATTTTGTACCCTGCAACTTTGCTGTAGTTGTTGATTACTTCTAAGAGTTTTCCAATGGATTCTTTGGGGTTTTCTATATATAAGATCATGTCGTCTGCAAACAGCGAGAGTTTCACTTCTTCCCTCCCTATTTGGATTCCTTTTATTCCTTTTTCTTGCCTGATTGCTCTGGCCAGGACCTCCAGTACTATGTTAAATAAGAGTGGTGATAGAGGGCATCCTTGTCTTGTTCCTGTTTTCAGGGGGATGGCGTTCAGTTTTTGCCCATTGAGTATGATGTTGGCTATGGGTTTGTCATATACGGCCTTTATTATGTTGAGGTAGTTTCCTTCTATGCCCATTTTGTTCAGAGTTTTTATCATAAATGGCTGTTGGATCTTGTCAAATGCCTTCTCTGCATCTATTGAGATGATCATGTGGTTTTTATTCCTTAGTTTGTTGATGTGGTGTATCACGTTGATTGATTTGTGGATGTTGAACCATCCCTGTGTCCCTGGTATGAATCCCACCTGATCCTGATGTATGATCCTTTTGATGAATTGCTGAATTCTAGTTGCAGAAATTTTGTTTAGAATTTTTGCATCTACATTCATCAGTGATATTTCGTGGTGTCCTTGTCAGGTTTTGATATCAGCGTGATGTCGGCCTCATAGAATGTGTTAGGAAGTGTTCCATCTTCCCTAATTTTTCGGAATAGCTTGAAAAGGATAGGTATTAAATCCTCTCTGAAAGTTTGGTAGAATTCCCCAGGAAAGCCATCTGGTCCTGGGGTTTTGTTCTTTGGGATGTTTTTGATTGCTGTTTCAATCTTTTTCCTTGTGATTGGTCTGTTCAAATTGTCTGCCTCTTCTTGAGTGAGCTTTGGGAGATTGTAGGAGTCCAAGAATTTATCCATTTCCTCTAGGTTATCCATTCTGTTGGCATATAGTTTTTTGTAGTATTCTCTTATAATCCATTGTATTTCTGCAGAGTCTGTTGTTATTTCTCCTCTTTCATTTCTGATTTTGTTTATTTGAGCTTTCTCCCTTTTTTTCTTTGTAAGTCTGGCTAGTGGTTTGTCAATTCTATTTATCTTCTCAAAAAACCAGCTCTTTGTTTCATTGATCCTTTCTACTGCCTTTTTCATTTCAATAGTATTTATTTCTGCTCTGCTTTTTATTATTTCTCTCCTTCTGCTGACTTTGGGCTTTATTTATTCTTTTTTCTCTAGTTCAGTTAGGTGTACTTTAAGATTGCTTATTTGGCATTTTTCTTGTTTGTTAAGATGTGCCTGTATTGCGATGAATTTTCCTCTTAATACACCTTTTGTTGTATCCCATATGAGTTGGTATGGCATGTTATCATTTTCATTTGTTTCCAGGTATTTTTTGATTTCTTCTTTAATTTCTTCAATGATCCATTGCTTGTCCAGTAGTGTGTTGTTTAGTCTCCACATCCTTGTGCCTTTCTCAGCTTTTTTCTTGTAATTAATTTCTAGCCTTATAGCACTATGATTGGAGAAGATGCTTGTTCTTATTTCAATTTTTTTAAATTTGTAGAGGCTTGCCTTGTTTCCCAACATATGGCCTATCCTTGAGAATGTTCCATGTGCACTTGAGAAGAATGTGTATTCAGCTCTTTCAGGGTGAAGTGATCTATATAAGTCTATTAAGTCCAATTGTTTTAGTTTTTCATTCAGCTCCACTATTTCCTTGTTGATTTTCTGTCTGGATGATCTGTCCATTGATGTGAGTGGGGTGTTAAGGTCCCCTACTATTATTGTGTTGTTTTTAACATCTTCCTTTAGGTCTGTTAATAGTTGCTTTATGAATCTTGGTGCTCCTGTGTTGGGTGCATAGATATTTATAAGCGTTATTTCTTCTTGATGAAGTGTCCCTTTGATCATTATATATTGTCCCTCTGTGTCTCTCTTTACCT